AATAAATAAATAAATAAATAGAATCACCAATCTGGACTTCTACCACACTACCTCAAGAAAAACATCAGGTTTTGCACCCAAGGAGACTTGGATACTTCACAGAAGTGCCTAAGGAGCCACTTCTTCAGCAAATTCAGATTCATTTCTTGTCCTGGTAGGACAGGAGGTGAGTTCAGAGGCCCAGGAGCCCTGATTCTCAACAACAGTCATTCCCACTGAGAGGGGGAAGCGGTACCTTTGAGGAGCTGTTTGGCAGCAAGGGATTAGTTGGTGTCACACAAGGAGTTGAAAACCAAGATCGGCATCCTTCCTCCCTGGACCATCCTTTTCCTTGCAAGTTTCAGAGATGCTTCAGTACCAGCTGTAGGGTGGGGCAGGTTTTCTGCAAGACACCTCAGAGAAACGTGAAAATCTGCATTCTGGGGAAAGATTGTCCCATTTTAGTCACATTTTCAGGCACCTCGTACTAGTAGTTGGTATCATGAGGGCTTCCCACCGTTAGAAGAAGCCCGAGAGGCCCCTGGAAGCGCCGATCAGAACCTGACCTCTTGTGGCTGTTCCCCACAACAGTCCAGAGCCTCAACACCACCTTCAGCCTTTCTCCATTTAGATAGGCAGCCTTCTTCAGGAAGAAGGCTTAGACAAAAATTACCTTTGGGCCGAGCACGTTTTTCTCGTTTTCAGTGAGGAATGGGATCCTTGAAGAGACTGGAAAGACTATGAAAATTCATTAAAAATAATCAGCGAAACACATTTATCACACAATTTTCCTTTTTTTAGCCTACCCAGCTTAACATCAGCCCCATCGCAGGCTGTATGGCTGTAATCTAAACTGATTATTTCTCAAAGATTTACCAGCATTTACATGTTACTGTATTTCATACTTTATCTGAGGCAAAAACGTTCACGGGACCATAAAATCAGAAAAAAAACCCAAACATGTACCTGCAAGATAAGGGATTGTCTCTGCGTTGGCCTCATTACATCAGGATCCAGATGACAGGATTGGAGTTGAAATAAAATATTTTCAGATGAATGCTGGAACTCAGGTGTATAGTTGGGTGAACAACATCGTCATCAGTGGATTTACTTCACCAGGGCTCTAGACTAACGTCTTGCCTTAAGGCAAATAAATTGGCTGCTTGATGATTAGCATTTTAAACCTGGTATCAACCTAATTCACAGAAATTTCCATTAAATTTCACAAGAATGGGACTGAGTAATCTTTTTCTCTCTGAAACCAATTCTTCCAAAAAGGAATTTCTTAGTAGGCTGACAGCTAAGAATTTGCAGGCTTCAGCCTCAGTCCTGACAGCATTCCCATTTGGAAATCCTGGGATGAAGCATCAGTGGAATAGCAGCCACTCAACTGACTTTAAATTTAAAGTCAAACACATACTTGACCGACGTGCAAATTTATCAGTCGGAGTTAATTCTGCAACTCTTTCTCCATTTGTATTGCTGAGAAAATACCTGCTCATATAGTGCTTTATATCTTCAAAGCACTTCACAAATGCTAAGTATTATTATCGGTTCTGAGCACGAACATTAACTCTCCTCAGGCCCCCAAGTTATTCCGCTGAATCTTTGAAGACTATTTGATTATACAATCAGTTCTCCATGTGCTAATACTCAGGCACTTCGAGTTTGTCACATCAAAAAGCAAGACGGAAAGAATTATTTGTCAGAAAAACAAATAATTACCAATATCAGAAGTAAATTGGCCATTTGTTAGAAGTAATGTGTATGTTCTTAACCATTTATCGGGAGAGCTGCCTTGATCAAAATAAGACAGCCTGCTGGAACCACATAAGCCATTTCTTTAGCAAACATCTCTAATACTAATACAAGAGCTTATAAGCTTTCTAATTGTTGCGTAAATGGAAGCGGTGGTAGCTTCTAGAACCCTTAAATAGCAATCATAGTGGAGCTGGCTTCACTCAACCTGTGCGGCTCTTTCTTCATACTGAAATGGCTTCCCTACCAAAAAGGGCATAGTTTGAGAGAACTAATATAGAAATATTGCCTGTAATTATTTTAGGGGGGTAATTCCTTAACCAGGAACATAATCTCCTACTTTGCCAATCAAAAGAAGTGGAAACATGTTTGAATGACATGAGCTAAGCATAACCTATCTATATCATCATAGAATCATAGAATGGTTTGGGTTGGAAGGGACCTTAAAGATCATCAAGTTCCAACCCCCCTGCCCTGGGCAGGGACACCTCCCACCAGACCAGGTTGCTCCAAGCCCCATCCAGCCTGGCCTTGAACCCCTCCAGGGATGGGGCAGCCACAACTTCTCTGGGCAACCTGTTCCAGTGCCTCACCACCCTCACAGGAAAGAATTTCTTCCTAGTACCTACTCTAAATCTCTCCTCTTCTAATTTAAAACCATTACCCCTTGTCCTATAGCTACACTCCCTGACAAAGAGTCAGTCTCCAGCTCTCCTGTAGGCTCCCTTCAGAGATAGCCAGACTTTAAGCATGGCTAAGCAGTGAGACTGAGAAATTGACGCTTATTTCACCTGATTAGCCAATTTTTACTGATAAAATCAATTTTTTTTACTCAGAGTTCTTTTCAGGTTACTCAGTAAGATTCTTGTAGCCCCAACCACTAAATATGACAGTCTTGAGAGTTACACCCCGCATCGGATCAACGTTCAGTTTTATCAAGACCAATTACACAGTGGAAAAATGAGCTTAGTCAAACTGGTCAAGTTTAATGATCAGCATCAAGTGAAGTAGTTTAGCAACAATCTCCAAAATTCAGAATCCCATTTTAAACAGCATGTGGCATCTAGCTGAATGTAACAAGAAATTAGACATCCTTCCACCAGTACAGTGGCAACAGAGAGCTCATTGTTCTTTCATTTCAATTATAATACAGTTCAGCAGAGTCTTTCATAGCTTTTAAGTATCACAGAATGTCTGAGATCTGAGTAGACTCCATTTATAATGAACTGGTTCATTCTCAAGGAGGAATGTATTATTGTATTATTTTCTTGACAGAAAAAAATATCTACTTTTTAACTTGAAGAGCTTAATTACACAATGAGATACTGACACAGGTTTCTCTGTGTTTCTTTATTGCATAGTTGCACACTAATGTAACAGTTAAAATCCAGCAGCTAGAAGTTTCGTGATATTGGGTAAAAACTGAGGAAAAAGGCCTGTATCACAGGAGAACATACATATGTTGTCTGCAAAGACAATTATTTCTGTAAATTATGATTAGGCAGATAACATAAATTGAAGTACACAACATAATAACTGCCACAAAATCAAGATGCGCAAAGAAAAAAGCAGAGATGTGCCAAGAAATACAAGTTAAGATATTCAAAATTAAGGCATTCAATTTTTAAAGCAAATGCTATTGACAATGAAGTTGAATGGAAAAAGGGACCTTTCCTCAAAAGTAAGCTGTGTAGAATTCCAGTACTTTAAAACCTAGCAGGTTTTTGTGAGATCAAAGCAATCTCCATTTCTATAGCTTTCAAAGCCAAAAGATACACTCCTGGCAGACTGGCAGTAGAAATACCAGTGATGTAAAAATATCACCCATGACAGAAAACATCAAAAGACTGGTCAGGCAGCCGTGGTGGCCTACACCTGAGCTGCACTGGTGTGAAAGTTCTGGAACGTAGGAGTATGGATCAAACATTCAAACGCCAAATGAAGTCGTTCCAGCTATGAAGCCACCAAGAATGAGACTTCTGATAACAGCAATATTTAACAGAAATATTCAAAGGCAAGACAGACGCAGATCTAAGCTCAAAAACCTTCTGCTCCCTTTTCACTAAGCTCTCCTTAAAGTTATTTCTTTTACAGTCTTTAATTCCTAGTACTCATGGCCACAGGAATGCCTTCCAGTACAGTATTAAGTAACGGAAGTGACTACTATGCAAGAACAAATATAAATGTGTGCTTTGACCCTTTTGTGTTGTACCATCTAAAAGAAGAGCCTTAAGATTCCTATGCAGACACCTTTCAGAGTTTAACTTAGTTGTGCAATATCATAACATATATTAGCTCTAGTCCAACAATCAAATCATTTCCACCCCACACAACAGAGAATAAGGCAAAAGAATTCTATCCCATCTCCTGTTTTACATACACACGCAGGCACACGGTATTATTTTTCTTGAAGTTAGCTTTTACAAGGCCAGTACAGTCATTGTAACATAAAAGTTAAAAAAGCTCTCCCCCCAAAACCCAGAATACTTTTCTGTTAATTTCCAGACTGCTAATTTCAACGACAATCCACCCTGCAACTGAAATATTTTAACCAGAGATGCTAAAACACATAAATGTGAGACTTAAACACCAGCAAAACACCTGTAACAGAAAATCCCCGTAAAGCTTATTTTTGTAGCACAGTGAAGTTAATTCTTTCTGTGTTGACCCTGATCCCAAATATTTGAAACAATCAGTACAGAAACTGATTAATTTTATGTCTGCATAGATTCTGCAGGCCAGGAACATAAAAAGTCTGTCTGATGGTGCCAAAGACTGCACAGTTCAAACAAATTGGTATAGATGATATAGTTCTACGGAGTTCAACCAAGATGGTAAGGTTAAACTGAGCAGTGAGGGCTTGGAGAGAGGTAAGGAAATTGAAGATATATACTGCCATGTTAACTATATTACATAGTAAAAATAAGTAGGCAACACTGGGACAGAAGAGAAATTTTCTCTCCTTTATCGCATAGAGTCACTCTAAAGTTAAGTGGCCACATTTGCCAAAGGAGAAAGGCACAACTGTTGCAACATAACAACAGGCTGAGGTAGAACTATTAAGGAAGCAAAGGCAGGACCTAGGCACTTAATTGGTTAAAAGAGAACATTCAAAAGCCTTAAAGTCATCAGGGCCACACTAAAAAGTGTTAAAGTGCTTTTAGACAGAATACTTGGACTTAAAAAGAAGTATCAAGTTTAAAGTTCCAAATTTAGCATTGACAAGCCAGTGTCCTGGCATCACTTGTGCTGAACCACAGCAGCAACCAGTGACTTTGCTTACTGGGAGGAGCAGACCAAGTAATATCTGCTCTCCAAGATGACTCCTCAAATACAATCAATCAAAATCACATCGTGAGTTTACAGACAGACCTGCTCCTCATCAGAAAATCTGACCATACATTTAGTTCATGAATTTCATACATAGGCACACTGTTAAATACAGGAAAGCATAAAAAGCCAGCGAGAAAGATGCCTGAGAGAAAATTAGGGCCAGCAGCAGTATGCTTCAGAGGTAGAAAATACTTGTGGCAATTGGACCGTAACTCTAGGATAAGGCTCCAGAGCTGGCAGCTCACACAACAATTTCATTTGGTCCACAAATAAATTGCAACCACCACTTAACTTCGTTACCATAAGGTGCTATAAATAAAATCTGGTCCCCAGTTGTCCTAAAGCTAGATAACTATTTCCATTTAAAAAGTGCATCTTACAACAAAACTTTGAAGAGAGTGCACTGGTGCTTTATGAGTTACTGAATGCTGCGTTTTGCCCACAGTCTCCTAGCACTGGATTGGGTTTCATAAATTGTTTGGGATTTCCACCCCCTCCCCCCCCAAAATCCCATTGGGAGGGTCAGCTGGGGTGTATCAAATTTAGCTTTCCCTTGATGTGATCAGTTTCCTGGGATCAATTGGACATTTTCACCTAATTTGCTGCTCTTGCCAATCTTGAGATACCGGTGAATTCTCTTCTGCTCTCTTCTCCTGGTACATTATTAATACAGGAAAGTAAATGGTGCCAAAGCTAAAAGCTTCTACAATTGTTATAAGGTTTTAGAAAAAATCTTCTAGCTTGTGGTGTAGATAAAGCCAACATTTTGTGGCAGTCATATCAAACATGGATCAGGCAGTCAATAGAATGGAAAGAGGTTAGATTTTATAAGCCAATTTCTTCCTTCTCTTTTCATTCTAAGCACAGAGGAAAAAGGAAGAAGATAAGATGTCCCTGCCTATGTGACTAGAGAATATATTTCTCTTCCCAAACCTCTGAAACAATTCCTCAAAAGGACCTGATTAGAATGAATACTTTTCACTTCTTCCCACTTCCTGCTTGCCAACATGTTTTTAGTTGGGATTATTAATTCATGCAAGTCACTGAAAGAGCATTTGAAGAGACACAGAACAATTCAGAAAAGAAGCAGGGGAAGACATCACCTGCCCTTATTTTTCCTGTAACTGTCAAAATAATTCCTTATTGATCCCTGCCTTACAGCAAGTCAATTTGTTAAGGGTTAATATCACTTACTACTTAAAAAAGAAAATCTAAAAAAAACCCCACAACTTCTCTACTGAAGGTCGAATGGCGCTTAGCAGAACTGCAACTGGCTGGCTGTGAAACTGTACGGCATACACACACTGCAGAAAAAGGACAAATAATTAAAAAAATAATGTCATTTATATCCAGGTACTGCAGTCTGGACTGACATTTCATGGACCTTCTATGGCCGGATCTGCTCAGCGTGGTCCTTGGGCTGTACTTCAGTATTCAAGAGGTGCCTGCTTTGGAACGATGAACGGACGGTTCTGTTCATTAACGGCTGCAGAGGGCGAAAGTTGTCTACCATTCTCTTTTCTTCTTCACCATCTGAAGTAAAGAGCAGCATCCGAAATGCCTCCAGCTGAGGATGAGAAATGTCCAATTTTGTGACTTTACTAACTGGAGAATTATTGGAGTTCACAACAAAGCACAATCATTCACGCTTGGAAAAAAGTCATCAGAGGTACTATTATGTTTGCATTCTGAGAAATTTTAGCATGAACTTCTGCCACGCCTTTGTCACCTGCTGGTAAAGATTACACCCTCATCCATATCAATGCAGAAGAGGAATTGTCTGTCATCTGCCATCTTTAGGCAAACTCAGTCTCAAGTGTGGCATGTCTGAGACAGAACCGATTCCTGTTCCAACACTGGAACATATGCTATCTTTTAATAAGTTTCTCCAACCTTCTTAATTTACACCCTTACTGGAGTTCTGTTCTCTTACACAGACACGCATATGCTGGCACCCAGAAAAGAGAGAACCTCAACAAGCAACAATCTACATAGTTGTTGTTCTTAGTGATTTATAACTGAGGATTAAAATAAAGTATGCAGCAGATCGGCTTTTAATGCTCACAAGGGCATTACAATGTTAAGTAAACTATGAGCCTTTCTATGCCATAAAAAAAGAAAAAAGAGAGAAGAGCCAAAGGGGGGAAAAAAAAGGGAAAAAGTTTCAATTGAAGAATGTTCCACCATGCATTCAGTTCTCTCTGCTCTGTTAACAACCTTCAGTTCTTCCCGTCCTGTTCCTTTATGCAAACTAAACCATCAAGATCATGTACATGCCTGTTCTTCAGAGTTAGTGTTTGTTTGGAGCATGACTTTCTAGATGGATCAGCTCCATGCAAAAGTTTTTGCCTCATGTGGTTGGTTTCACACTTCATTTTTAATCAAAGCCGCAAAAAACCAGGGACAATGCACAGGTAACTTTCAATACCTCTTAAACCATGACAAAAATGGTACTTTTTGGCACTGGTCATTTTTCACTTGCGTTGCAACAATCTCCAAGACTTTTTCTATGCTGTAATGCCACTCAAAGTACTCCACTTCCTTGAACAGGCAAAAAATTCCTGAAAACTTCCAAAACAATTGACAATTGTAGTACAGTTCCAGTGAGTCCTCCTGACCACTTTCTACTTGTCCCCACATCTAGCAAGGAATAGCATCACATTGAAACACGGAGTACTAAAATTAAAAGCAGTAGAGGGCATATGGAGAGAAGTTTGAGTTGGTGTCAAAACAGACTATGGACCACAAACTTCTCCACTTGAAATAACTTCTGTAATAAAACATCTGAGGAAATCTTTGTCTGTCCTTTTTACAGGGGAATAATAAAAAAAAAAAAAAAGAAAAAAAAGGAATTCAAGGACAGCACAGCCAAATGCAGAGTAAACATGCCTACAAAAGGCAAAGGAGAAAATCCAGCGGGGACTCACTCTATCTCTCACCATCAGAATGGCATGTGAAGGACTTAGAGCCACCCACCACCCCTTCTGTACCCTCAGAGCCTGCCCAAGGGAAGAACAGAGGATTAGCCCTTGCAGCCTCTGCAAGATCTCTGTGCAAATGCACTTGGCTATGGAGAATATGCACAAAAGGTCAGAGTTTGGAATTTCACAAAACACGCCCTTTTCTCCACCCTCCCTACCACAAAGAGGGGTGCATCTTGGTAAGGAGAGCAAAATTACGCTGTGTTGCAATAAATAACCTTAGAAGTTTTTCAAGGAGCAGCTTCCAGTGTAAGGCATTGTTAATCAAGATAAAACTCTCCTGGAGGGCTGGAGAAGTATCTTTAAACTGCTTACTGAAGAGGCCTTAAGCCTTTCAGCATTAGCTGTTGGTAATGTCAGGATACCTCCCCAAACAAATCCTGGGTGTGAAGCAGCCACTGATCTCTCTCTATTTTCAGAGAACTACTGGTGAGCAACAACTTCTGTGCATCTTCCCCTTCACAGCAGCAGACAGTCAAATGAGTATGGTATAATTTGAAATGTAAACATGAGTTTTACCTGATTCTCATCAACCTCTATTGGCTGCTTCTTAATAATCCACGTGACTGACTCAGTAAGCGGGGGAGTAGTCAAAGAGCCTGCGTAGGTCCAATAGTCAGGGCATGAAGGTATCAAACAGGAAGGATCAAAGACATCGAATTCAACAACAGTGTCCTAAACCACAGAAAGAACTTCTTTTTAAAAATTGCATTTTGAGAAAAAAAAAAAGAAGATTTAAAAAGATCTTAACAATAAGATTAAATACTGTGTGGGTTATATATGCATATGCAAAATTAAATATTGCTATTATTAGTAATGATCTACATAAATAGTAATTTAAAACCCCATAAACTTGTAGAAAACTGGTAAGCTGGCTTTAATGAATAGGAGGCAGCTAGTGAATAGACAAAATTTAAATATTTCTGTTGTTCCCCACAAGTCATTAGGAATTCAGTGCAGAAGAAACAAGGAGTAAGAACGAGTAACCGACTACAGCTTTGTGGGAGCTAGAAGCAAACAAGAAAAAGAAAATAACTGACGGAATAAGTTCAGGTAGTTCTGCCAGATATACTTAATAGACTGCAAACAATAGTTCTTTTACTTTTCACCACGTGATTTTAGGCAGCAGGGAGACAGAAGAGCACTAAAATGTTATTTAAATCACATTAAGTATTGCTGTCTCCAGAATGTGTGCTCCCACAAGTGAGATACCAGACAGCACGTAGGAGCTTCAGAGCCCAGATTTCCTACACAAACATTTTACTCCTGGGGTACTTCCAGGATATACTGGCAACACAGGAAACGAAGATCCTGTTTTTCCTTAGATAGGCTTTATTGGTTCCCTGCTGAGAATGAGAAATGTTACAGCAAAGAATTTTTCAAAAATAGATAGTTGGACAAGAGATTCTAGATGGGAGCTGCCACCCATCATGTAAGAGGAAGGTGCAAGGACATCAGAATAGGTGTTAACTGACATTCCTCCTCCTCACCAGGGTGCTGTTCCTCAGGGTTTGGTACTCAGTGATAACTCTGGCAAGGCAACAACAGTTTTCAAACATTATAAACCAAGTGCTGATGAGTTGCTGGGTGACTGACACCCTTTGGAAATGAGATATCTTTCAGAGCAGCCCACATACAGCTTGATGAACATGTTTGATACTACTTTTTTTTTTTAAATATATTTAGTTTCTTTCAAATTCATAGGCTGTAAAATATTATCTTCTCATAATGGATGTATATTCACAGACTTTCGTAGGTCTTTTTTGGCACTGAACTGACTTGTTTGGCATCTATCTGGGGGAATTTTCACTGCACTGCCATAAATATTTGTTTTATTTGGATTTATTTGTGATAAGTAATGGCACAGCGACTTCAACTGGATGTGCTCACGAGCCAGCAAATTTCTTGATGTGTGTTTTTTGTGTGTACTTTCAAAAAGGCACGGGCACCCAGAAGAGCATGAGCTGCTTCTGAGCACTAGCAGAGACGCAGCACTCCCTCTCCTGGCAGAAGTCAGAAATCAGCTATGGAGAAAGTCCTATGCCCCTAGCAGAAAATTTAGGTTAAAAAAAAAAAAAGGGGGGAAAAATTAATCTCCTCCTCAAAGATCAGACAAAATAAGAAAGTCTTAATTCCACAAGAAATAAACTACCACTTTACACAGCACAGAAAGTTCCTCCCAGTTAAACAACATACAAAAACTAATCCAGTGGCATAGTTTTTCACAGAAGCAGAAGGGCAAGCATTAAACATGTGCATGTCCTTCTAAGGGGATACCCTCTCAAGAGCATCATGTCTTAAACCAAGAGGTTTGGAAAGCTAAAAGTATAGAATTCCACCTTAAAAATTAACTTTCCTCCCCTTCAGTATAATCAACAATTTACCCAGAGTCAATCAGGTCCCTCACTGACATTTAAGGAAGAAAGCATTTATTGGTGTTTTGCTATTCTCAAAGTATTCTTTAGGTTGAATGACTGCATTAGCTACGCTGAGTGATAACTGGTGGGATGCTTAAAAACACTTACCTTGTGTTTAACTGCTGGCAAGGCATCAACCAGTGTCTGCAGCCCTTCATGATGTGCTCCCAGCTGCAGGAGACAGGCAGGTGTTAGAGAATCATTAAGCTGACATTCTGCGTATATACCTTAATTAGCTTTTTTTGAAAACAACAACAATCTAGAGGTATTCTGTCCTAAATCAGTTTTAACAAATTGAAAATAAAAAGGCATCATTACAGCTTATCACACAAAGTGAAATTACCTTTAAAAACACTCCAATGACAGCCAAGCCGTTACCTTCCATTACAGCTTCTTCAAAAGTTGGGTACACAACGGCATTCCAGTGTACTAAATGCAACTAAAACGTAAACAAATGAGAAATCAACACATGCACAGAGCACAGCAATGGTATCAAGAAACTTGACTTTTGATCTCTTTGTCCTTGGCAATTTGAGACACTGCAGCGAGCTACCTCAGAAACCAGACACCACAAAAATGAGGATCAAAATTTTATTGGAAAATAATGGTACTTCCCTTTTTTTTATCTTTTCTGGGGGTTTTTTTGCCTTTTCTTAAATGATAGACCCACAGAACTACATTTCACACATATGAAAGGGATTTCATCTGTAGGAGACATTACAGGAATGCTAGCTACAGGCACAAAAAAAGGCTTAGTGTACCTGGAACTGGAGGACTCTTCCATCTCTGAAGAAGAAGAACAGAGCACGCTTTTCTGCTAAGGAACAGTCTCCTGCACATCACATAAGCTTCCTCTGCATTGCTTACAGTCTAATACAAGCATGTAATTGAGGGGGTTTTTGTGTTAAATAGATAGCCAGCACCAGTCCCAAAACTTAGTCATACAGTCTTGCTGTTAATGTCTTGCCAAGCTGACAAGCATCATTATGAACATGTTAACAGAAGATAAATGTCTTCTCAAAAATATGCAAGAATCATTTTTCAAATTCTCCATCTCTGGCATATGTTTACACCTGTCACACTTTCCTCTCTGAGCAACTTAATCTGTGTTTTTTCCCTTTGGCCCCATCCTTTTTATTGACTCTCTTTCTGCATTAGTAGTTACTTAATCACAAAAGCTTTGCTATTTTAATAACTGCTTATGAGTTGAAAACAGAAGATCAAGTGATCATGATAAACACTATATTACCACAGAAATCTGCTGTACATTGTTGTAATAACTTTAAGAAACACAAAAAACCCCCCCATTGTCGATAACTGGAATAAACTTTCTAACAATAGCCAAAGCCCTGGGGTCACATACACAAGACAGTTATTGCATACAAAGTAAGCAGGACCAGGCTTCTTGAGTTACAGGTATGGGTGTGAGAATTAAATACTCCTCCCTTTTCTCTTCAAATATTTTTTTTTAAAAGAGTATTTAGTATGTGCTTTGTTTCTCTGCAAACGTTTAGTTACAACAAAGAAAGTGATCTTAAAGCAGTAAGGACTGGGAGATTCAGAGGTCCACTAGAGCCTGAAGCTCAGACACAGTGCATTCACTATACTCCCAAGAAAACAAACCCTACACCTCAGGAACTCTTAACTTACCGCAGCTCAGAGGTAAAGCACTTAATTTTTTTAAATTGAGATTTGAGCTTGCACATTTACCTCGGTATTTGCTGTCCACCTGATCCGCACCACATCAGTTGGGACCTGGGAGTTCATTAAGATTTGATTTTGCCCTCAGGCTGCTTTCTGTCTCATCATTTTCCCCTTTAAAAGGGGGAAGGACCAGCAGAGTTGTGCCACTCCATCCAGACAGAGCTGGAATAGCAATGACACTTTGCTGCCTGCCATTGGCTTGTCCAGCAGCTACCCCGGGGGGACATTCAGGGAGAAGAAAACACTACTGAAACTTTCAGTAATGGGGCCAACATTCAATTTTAAGACTCTGTTCTGCTCCAGAAAACACAGTGAGTATGAACTTACTAATACAATGGTAGATGAGCTGGGGCACCTACCAGGTCTGATCCTTAACAGAGAGCTGCAATCCTTCAAACAGGGAGTTTTGCAGCATGCAGTATCAGCACAGACAACCTGAGACTGAGCCTCCAGTCCCCACAAGTATTTGCACTGTTCAACTTTTTATTTCATACCTCTGCTGGGTAAAATTTGCTGTCAACTGTGTGCTCTGAACCCCACTCGTTTATGGCTCCCCAATGGAAGTGGAACTGCTTTAGCCTGTATTGGTTTTCCAAGGGACCTCCAACGATTACTGAAAAACAAAACAAGACACATATATTCATAAACATGATTTGGAATTGTCCAGAAAAGTAACACAGCAAGATCCTGTTTGAACTATGTTTGCCCAGGGAAGAAATCAGCAACTCTCTTAACTGAAACAGTCCCCTATTCATCGGCTACTTTTACAATTTACTTTGCTATGACAAAATTGTTTAAGCAAACACATCACACGTTTTCCTTGCAGTTTGAATCAATTATTTCAAATTGAAGAATATAAGCTAAGTCTCCTCATCCACCTCTCCTCAAGGGAATTACTGTTTTTTTCCCGATTCACAAAATTTGGCAGTCGTGGTGATTACATGCTACCTTCTATGCTCTTCTCTTTGAACAGACATGAGAACTGCATCACCAGAAGAAACATGTATGGTAAAGCAATGGATATATCTATTACATGACATCCCAGCGCAGCCTCAATATCTATAAAAAATATTTAAACTTCCCATAACAATCCAAGACTTCAAAAATCCAACGTTGCCAGTAGAATCAGTACATTGTGTCAAATGTTCAAGTCTGCTTTAAGTTACAAAAATCCAAACACGCTACTCTGCTTCAATGCAGCCTTCAGACTGCCTAACCAACACAAAGATTTCCTGTACAGACAGAAGTATGCTAATATTTTGTGTAATGTAAACTGTTTAAGCTAATTTCACAAAGCACCTAAACATACAGACTGCCAATAGGCAAGATTCTGAATTTATGGAAGCTTTAATATACTTTTTAGCCTTGAGTAAGAGTGACCATTCAATCTGCTCTCCTTATTTCAGGAGGCATCTCATCGTTTTGCAAAGACATGAATGAAAAAGTCTATGCCTAGTTTGCTGTGTAGTGTTGGTTTTTTTACTCATTTCCTCCTAACTGAAGCAGGAACATCCTGCAAAGTCATCTTGCTCGTTATTACATCAGAGCATGAGATAAATGAGAGACCATAATTACTTCCAAAGGGATAACGACAAATACGTGGCTGTAGAGACCCATTTGCTAATTTTTACTTAACTGTAACTTGTGGTTAAATTTTATAGCAAACCACTGTATAAAGTGCATAATCCCAACACTACATCTGAAAAAAAAAAGTTAATCACTTTAATGCTAAGGAGAAAACAATGAGAGGCATTAAGAGCTTTAGGCAGACAGCAGTTTTGAAATTCTAACTAGATAGGCTAGCTTGTGATAAAAGACTAAAAAAAAAGCTAAAACAAGCTAAGCAAACTGACATTTAATTTATTTCATCCACTGCTGCTGAGCTCTTCACATAAATGCAATACTGACCATCAATTAAAAAGCCTTGGAGAAAGGTGACTTTCAGGGATAGGATGGCCCACACTGCCAAGTCTTTCTGAATTAAAGTTTCTGCACTCTAACACTATCCATTATTACATGATGACGTAAACCTGCAAGTGACTACATTCGAGTTAATAATCACTTTCACTTGAACGTTTACCTCAGCAGTAGAGTTAGGCACAGGCACACATATGTAGCAAATCAGATTCTATTCGGGACACTAGAAAGTGACAGGAAACAGAAACTTACAGCCCCTTCACAATCATTTTTGCCATTTTATTTCCTCTCAATTTACCAGTCTCAATAATTTCAAAACAAAATAGAAATTTAAAGGAACTCTAACAACAACCAGAGGAAAGAATCACATCAGCTTTTTTTTTGCAGCCCTAGTTCAGTTTCAGTCTCATTTCCTTGCAGCAGATGGCATTCGTGCACACAGATGGGACCACGTTCTGTACGTACCTTCCCTCCCTCTTTCTTCTTCATCCTCCTGCTCTGTTCACAAGCAAACACCCCATGGCAGCACTACCTTCATCTTTTGCCCAAGTCTTGTTTTGCCTCATCTCAGAAGTTGGGCATTTTTGTCTATCCTGGATGCATGTTTCATTTTGTCTTTTTCATCTTCTGTTTCAATTTTGTTGCTTTTTTTGTTTGTTTGTTTATACATAAGCTTCCTTCTCTGGGTTTCTATTATTGTTTAGACAGAAGCTGGCAGAAAGAAAAATCAGAAATAGCAACAGTAAAGAGAGAAAGGTGGAGGAGAGAGGCAGGCACTTGAAAACCTGGCTATTTATACAGCAACATCCCATGATCTGTTGTTTCTCTGTCATTTTGGAGTCCTGCCACTGATCGTTTAATGCCATCCTCCACCAGCTGTCATCACCCTTCATTGACTTTAATTCACTTGAGGAAGATGATGATGATGAAAAGGCAGCCATCCAGAAAGAGGCATCAAGGATGCTCACCCTTAAAGATTTATCTCAAGCGTTTGGTCTTATAGATGAAGCGGATAAGATCTTTCAGAGCTGCAATGTGCTCTGACTAGCCAACCTATGAAAGGCCAGCTCCGCTCTAATTGACAGCCCTGATGATTCCATTCTTCTATATCACAAAAACTACCCCTGTGTATTTAAGTGTTGCTTATTTCTTAACCTTCCGCAGGCAATTCCCCTCCATTACTTCAATTCCTGAAGAAAAAAAAAAGATGCTGGTATCCATCGAACTGCAAAACATTACGCTTTTCAGGAATGCATCCTCAACAGACAGTGGGGTATTGCTGTATAAAGTAAAAGACTACTAAATTAAGAGCAAAAACAATCTAAAGTTAGTAAGTTAAAAACCTCTGATGAGCTAGCAAGTAATGTCTCCATCTTAGTCTCTTCTCTAACCCCACCTCACTAGCACAATAGCAGTTTGTACTATAAAAACAGAAGGGCTCTACTTGGTTTCTCCGTTACACATCATAGTGCTCAAATGAACAGGGCAAGAATATTCCCTGGTTGGAAACTTGTGTTCTGGGTGAAGAGCTACAAGCAATAAAAGCAAAAAAAACCCCAAACGCTAGACAAGCCCCTGAAAGCTCCATGCGTTCCACCACTACTGTTTTTGCTGCGCTGTTTTATCAGTCTCTTTCCAAACATCAACTAAAAATACTGGCATAGCAGAGACAAAGTGTATGTATTAGCATGCTGAAAACCTCTTTCCCAAGAGCATTACTAAATCCCCTGTGAGATCTAGTAACTCTTATGGTAACCTTAAATATATATTACTCTAATCAAACAGGTTCAAACGTGTCCAGGGTCCTTCAGTTTTTCCCTCCGGGACAAGCTGAGTAACTGACATGAATCATGTGCTTCGCAATATCCCTGACCAACTGCTACCAGTTCACCCACCTTTACAAAACACTTGCTTTATACATACCAGCAATGTCCTTTGGTAACAATATCTTGATTTTAAGTCATTTGACTCTGCTGAGCATTAAAAAAAAATTTAGCTGCTCAGGTCAGTGCACTGATCCACAGCAACTTGCTAGAATCCATAATTGGATTCCACATGCACAGACTCTTGCTTATACTAAAACAACAGGAACACATGCACCTGCTCCCTGTGGTAGCAGCTGAGTATTATTTAATTCTCCAAAAGCTTACTGAGATAAGTATATATGCTTTCCAACCAAAAGTTATTTTGCTGCTGATTATTTCAAATGCATTAAATATAACTGTTAACACCACAAGTGGCAGATTACTTTAATAGGAATCTCATTTAAAATTAAGTACATACACATACATATGACTGAAGATTGACTCATACAGACAAAGCTGTGATACCACAAGGCCTAATCAAAAGGCAGGACATTAAGGCTTGTGCAATAAGAATAATTTTCAATCTACAACAGAGAATTTGTGCACAATGCTCCTGGCAATAAGTACATAGTAAAAGTGAGACCTATATAGAACTTTGGCATTACAGTTCCCATCACTGTAAACCCATGTGTAGCTAAAGCTTCTTTTACTTTACATTCATTTTCAACATTTGTCCTAAGGTTTTAAATCATGCAAGTATTTCTCCTCTCTAAGCATTAAGACAATAAATTGTTTTTTTCTGAGTTTTGCTTACTTGATCTATCAGTTGAATCATCAAACTCAACCAGGAATGAATATCCATTGTTCCAGATGTGAAGACATGTTGTTGGGTCGTAGCTGATTTTCAGAGGCTTCAGAAAGGGGTCATAAACACTGTCTCTCCACTGGATATTGATAGGAGACTGTCGAGTGCCACCAGGAATCGTAAGCGGACTCTGCCAAAGTGGATGCACTGGAAGATGATGAAGAGAGTCAGGCTCTAATGCACGGTAGAAAATTTCCAACTAAACACTTCAGAACTTTTTGGCAAGAGAAGATGCTTTGGCATATTGGCTCCAAAAGCTAATTCAAGTCAGCTGATGCGCAGGCAAGTAAAATAATAATACATTCCAGTTGCATGACTCAGCGCTACACAGGGAAGTGCAGTAATTTCACAGAATCATAGAATGGTTTGGGTTGGAAGGGACCTTAAAGAGCATCAAGTTCCAATCCCCTGCCATGGGCAGGGACACCTCCCACTAGACCAGGTTGCTCAAAGCCCCATCCAGCCTGGCCTTGAACACCTCCAGGGATGGGGCAGCCACAACTTCCCTGTCCAATTTGACTTAAAACTGTGCTGATACCTTCCTGCATTTGCAAAATGCTCTTCAAAGACATTCTGTCTCCTTATTTGCCAGAAAACTGTTTTTCTTTTATTGCCAATTGATCTTCAGGGTGGGTTCTGTTTCACAGCTTTGCCAGAGTCTCAGCACACCGCTTCAGCTTTCATCACACACCAGTACCACCAACTGACACCAGATTGCACCAGACACAGGACAACTCCCACCAGAAAGCAGAAGTACTCTCTTGAAGGTGCCCGTCTTCTGCCTATGCGTGCTTAGGGGTTATGCCATCGCTAAGGCTGTAATAGTGCTCCTGAAGCACCCATACCAATATTGACCAAGACTACTTTATGCAGCCAGGACCTAAAGCTGATCTTCCCCACACCTGTAAAATCCTGAACTACCAATTTTGGGGGCAGCTTGGGTGTCTGAAACCAGCATGACCAGGGCAGATGGATGAATACAGCCTCCATGGGAATTTACTCTGCTCGAGAACAGAACGGAGACCTGTGTGGATGGGGAGCACTTGTTCACCTGCCATCTCTCGGTATCAACAACCTGCAGAACAAGGTTTTTGTGCCTTGCCCACCCTCTGAACCCAAAACTGAGAGTCTCTGAAGCATGGTGTTACTGCTACTTCATTAGATACACCTGCTTGGGATCTTCTGGAAGGAAAGAAGTTAAGTCCTTGAACAAACCACTCACGTGAAGGGGCAGCAAAACAACCTTCCCTCTCCCTTTCCTCAGTAAGGGGCAAACTTTATCAGCCTGCGCAAGGTCGCCACGGGGGTAAGGGCAGAAGCCAGGGAGCAAAACACTCTCCAGAAGCGCCACCCCTCTTATTGTCGGCGCCGTTTCCTGATGTTTCAGCCCAGGAACTGTCACGGACAAAGCCCGGCTGAACTTGGCGTCCCCGCCTCTTCCACACAAACTTTTCGAGGCCTCTCAGAAGCGAGGGAGGGAGGGCCATGGGCGCTGCCCGTGCCCAGGCCCCTCAGCCGGGCCCGGGACAGGCCGGGGGAAGGCGCGACGGGCAGCGGGGGTCCCTCGGGGCTGGGGAGGATGAACCGGGGCGGGGAGGGCTCGGGGCAGCGACCCTCTTTCCTGGGGCGGCGGGAGCTGCTCGCCCCAAGGGGTGAGGGGCGACCCCGGCCTGAGGGAGCCCGTCCCCGGGCGGACCCCCCTGAGGGAAGCGGCTCGCTGTGAGGGAGGCGGCGCGGGAGGGCGGCGGCACTCACGGGCGTCTCGCAGGCGGTAGGAGCAACAGGCGCCCAGGCTGCACCGTCGTGTCCCCCGCCGTGAGGCAGCGGCCACCCAAGCCCGGCGCAGCAGCGGCAGCAGCATCTCGGAGGAGACCGTGGAGTCGCCGGGCAGCCGCCGCCCAGCCAAGCCCAGCCCGGGCCGGCACGGCCCCTTCCGGCACGGCCTCCCTCGTCGCCATGGCTCCCTCAGGGGAGCGGGCGGTGGCTCTGCCAGAGGCGAGGCGGCGAGGGAGGGCGGCTTCAGCCCAGCCGGCCGCTCTTCCCTCAGGGGTGGACCGGGAGTGGCTTTTGCCGGCTTATTTATCCTGTGACAGCGTTGGAGGAGAGACCACAGTTCCCTGTGGGTGCGTGTTTGCCATCTCCCATGGTCAAGCTAATTCCCGGGCCTGAGTCACACCAAAAATATATTTCCTCTCCGAGCGATAGCGTCACGGCTTGTTACACACCTTGGGGGAGTAGCATTTATTCTTGTGTAGTTAGTTTTGCTTAAGTAGGTTTCAGTTTCTCCACAGCTGAAGGTGGGCTAGAGCAGGATCCTGCTCCCAAAGAGATATGGGTGGCCCTGGCACAGCAGGGTCCCTGCCCCAAACTGCACAGAAAAGTTAGGGAAAGCTGGCATTATGGTCACTTTAACCACTTTATGCTTCTGTCCCTAAGTCCAGAGGGCAGAATAAGCCCACCCCAGGATGGCAAAAAGGGCCAATTGAACTAGTGTTTGCCTGACACCCTTTGAGGCAGGCTTTGATGAAACAAAGGTGGTTAAAACCTTCGTTAATTGCACCTTCTCTGTGTTACAGCTGCCAGTGAGGGACACAAAGCAAACTGGGAAGCCTGTAGAAAGCCGACAGTGTCAGAGAAAGTGCAAAGATGAGGTAAGTGTCCTCATTTTTGCCATGGCCTTTGGGCAGCCAGGAGCAGAACACCACACCTCAGTTCCTAGCCTTCATCCTGCCACCCGCTTTTTATCAGATGTCTTGGTTACCATCTTAAAATCATTTTGCAAATCTGCATATACCTTTTGGGTATTTTTAACCTCGTTAGGGGGTGAGTACTTCTGAATTTTCATGAGGAACCTGGCATAGCATTGAGAATGTTTTACTGAAATGGAGACGAGACTAGATACTCTGCTCTAGCCAAGCAAGAAGTGTTTGCTCTAGTTTACGACATTGAGAAATTTCCATTGCGCTTACAGTATAACATGTTTAAAGTACTCCTGAGTTGAGTAAGAGGAGGTTGAAGTCTGGCAAGTGCTTTGCTTTGAGGGGCTACATGATCAGAAAACAGGTCATCAAGAGATGTACAAACAGCATATGACCATAGGATGTTAAACCTGGGTTTAAATTTCATTTTACTTCCTCCCTCCTGCAAGATATGCTTTCTTTAAAGTGCAGTCTTTTTTTTTTTTTATGTAGTAGGATTCAATTGCAAACAATGAATTCTTGGTTTGACTGTCAATGTTTTTCAGGATGGCTAACCTTGCTATGCTCAACATATAGTTCCCTATAACTTTTTAAAGAAGCTATAGGTACTCGAAATTGAAAACAGTTGCTGCTCATAAAAATAATTATTCATTCAGGCCTAATCACAGTTTAATAGTCTATTAATCTTGGTTAGGCAACTGTATTTAGCACAGGTCAGACATGTCTGTTGCTGAAACTGTTTATGAGCAATAGGTAGCTCCTGGTCATGAAGACAGCCCATATTGCTTAACTGCTTATTGCAGCAGAGAGCTCAGATGTAACTTTAGATATTTTAATTCTGAGTGTAAGCAAGAGATACTGGGTTTTATTCTCATCTACTAACAAAACAAGATTGTAATTCTGTGCTGTTCTGTTCTTGTGTGATGTGTCCTATAGATAAAATCAATAATCTTGGGCAGTTTAGAAGTCAAATCTACCAAATTAACTATATGCCCTATATCATAGTGTAGACACGTACTGTTCCAGAACATAACCTGGTTTTTGTACAACTATCACTTTTCTGTACATTAAAAGAAATTGAAAAAAAAAGAGCCTCAAACGCCACTGCTTTACATGGTGGCATTGAGATGACCAAACTTTGTGAAGCTTTTTAGGGATTTGATCCTGCAAGGTTTTGAAATGTTCAGCTACTAAGCTGAACAAAATGAGTCATTTCTTGTGGGTTGAACAGCAAAACCAAAAGAAAGTTCTTATGGCATAGGCTTCTGGAAATTATGGTCTGTTCAGGTGTAAAACTAAGGAGAAATAACTTCAACTTACAACACTGTTCTTTCTCCTCTGAATCATTCACAGAATCTGCGTCCAGTTTTACATGCACATACTATTTCTTACTGAGCAGAAATTTCAGTAAAACTTTAGCATTTAATTAAAAAAAAACCCCACTTTTCTTCTCTGTGAGGTTAAAGAAACCCTTCAAAATACGAGTTCAGTGGCAGTGAGATGGTTTTTTTGGAACTCACAGACAGAAAGGCAACAACACAAGGCCTAAATCTAATTCTGAGCACTTAGGTGGCCAAAATCATCTTTTCTGGACCATTCCAGAAACAGAGTTTCTCCTTGGCCATGTCCCAGCTAGAGACAGTGGTTTATGCAAGAGACATGGCTCTCATACAGCTAGCCAGAGAGAACAGCAGCAGCCAGAATTACAATATCTCTGTTGTTCTCATGTTTTTCCAAAATTGTTATGTTTCTGGCCCATCTGGGAGGTTTTAGCTACTCTTTCTGTTGTTCCTGAGCAGAGAATGCTTTCTGTATATAGAGAACCACCACAACCAGAAATCTGACAATTGAGCTACTAGATGAGTTAAAGCGATAGAGGATCTGTGCAGGAAGAGAAATAGAAACCTCATCTACTAGGTCTGTTTTCAAATGTGCAAAGTTAAAAAAAAAAAAAAAAAAGAGAATGGTGAGCATTAAGGTAACATGCAGTTTGCACACTTTGCTTTATGCATGCCTCATTTAGGATCAGCTCACTGAGGAAGGGTCTAGTCTATTGTTTACCTTTGTTATATACGTATCTATGGTGTTGCCAGAGCAGTTAGAGTAAATATTGTAATACAAGAAGCATGACCGAAATGTGTCACCCATGAAAAGAGATCCACCAGAAACAGACCCAATCTGTGCTTGATTTTTATTTTTTTTTTGAAACTTTCCAGACAGACACAGTGATACTCCATTTAATTTTATAGTATTTGGAGGCTTCTTACATTTGCACTGTGGTTTTTTTCCTACCTTTCCCAGCTGAAATAGATGTATAGAGCCATCCAAATAGTCCCAATCTTTTTAATTATTTCCTATAATTAATTGCATCTGTGGATACTTTAGCAGGTCTGTTTGGAGTAATTGTTTAAAAGTTCATTTAGCATTAATAGAAGTATCAAAAGCTGTGGTATGGGATTCATGATTCAGATGACAATACAGGTTGTGTATATTACTGGATTATCATATTTTATAACATAATTTCCAAGAAAATATTTTGAAGGCCACAGTTCTATGGTAAAAATCCAAAATAAGTTCAGTTAATTTAAGGGATTTACTGCCAATTTACACTGTTGTAAACTTGATTTAGAGACAAAACATTTTCCAATGTTTCATTTTTAAATTCTCTTTAAGCGTCCTGGGGAGGAGAGAGTTCTCACACATTGGTTACAAAAGTAGAAGAAAGAATATGAAAATTAATTCAAGCACTTGTCAAGTAAGAATGAGGGGTAAAATGACTCTGTCTTCAGTAGTTTTCAGTCTTTATGGTTTTAGTCTTTAAAAAAAAGGAAAAAACAAAGATGACCTGTTGAATAAAGTGCTTTGATTTGTTTACACAGGGATTTTCAACCAAGCTTCACCCAGCTCTGAAGTAAAACAGGGAGTACAGCATGGTGGGAACAGAGGAGAAACCCCACCCGCTTGAAGGAAATGTGTTTTTATCCTAAGCAGGGGTGCTTTCCTTAGCAACACATTCTGAATTAGAAAAATAAAAACAAACAGAGTTGAAACTCAATAAAGAACCATTTTAAACTTTAAAGGGCCGTGGCTCTGCTTCAGCCACTTGGATTGAATATTAGAGAGGAAATCCAAGATAGGTTGATTTCTTTGAAGCTTTTGAGTATGAATCAAGATTTTTGGAGGATAGCAGCGATGGTTGGCTGAGGTCCATCCTGACAAGGTGTTGAAAGTTCTGCTGAATTGATGTCAGATTTGGGCTGTGATGTCGGCCAGTTTATTGATAAAAAGCACTGGACTGTTTATCAAACGGATGTAACTGACAGGCTACTCTAAGCTCAAGAGGAAAGCAGCAGCAGATTGTGAAATGCTGAGCTTTTCTCTGCTTCCAGAATGTTTGGCTGAGATAGGAGCCTGGATGAGAAGGCAGTGGCTGAGGCTAAGTCCCGATAAGGAAGAGGTAATTCCAGTTGGCAAGGTAAAGCAAACAGAGGGCTTTATCTTTTCTGTATAAAAACATTTGTTAAAATTATGCATGCAGGCTTAGTAACTCAGCATGGAAAGGGCTTAGAAGATCTCTCATGGACAATTTGTGTAGTCACTGCAATTGTGTGTGCAGTCCTGGAGATGGCACACCTGGGTTGTGTGTCATTGCTGTACTTCTACCATTCTTTCAAAAAAAACTTGAAGGATTCTGCTTTTCTTGTAACTTCTTCTAAAAGGATAAGAAAGAAAAAAAAGACATTCAGGTCTGCTGTGGCAATAATTACTAGGGTGAGAGTATACCCCATAGCCTTAAAGAAAATCTCTTTGAAAAGCATTTCTAACAGCTCCCTCTCTGTTGTATTAAAAGGTGTCTGAAACCACTGCCTTCATGTATTGTTACAAGATACCACAGAGCTTAGTACAGACATCCACTGCAGTACTCCACGTCACTAGACTTTTTTTTTTTTTTTTTTTT